TTATTAATTACAAAATAAATAAAAAGTTAAATCAATTTTTCATAAACTTCCCTTTTGTTTCCCATTACTGTATCCCATACAGGGATTTCCTTAGGTTATTAGAGGGGTTAGATGTCATCTAGGCCTGAGGGGTGGTGGTTGGGGAGGTTTTTCTTTTTTTGACCATTATCCTTACAATGTTTGTACTTATTGTACATATAGTCAAAAGTCTTTTTTATGTCAGCCTGTAGAATTCTCCTGGTTGTTTTTAAGCATACATTCATTCTGATATGTCACCTAATGGCATTTTTTTCTTTCAGCTTAACATGCTCAGCAAAAACACTTTGGTGCTATGCCTATGCCTTTCTATGGCAGGATACTATGCCATAGGTACCCAGTATTTACAAAAATACATAAAGGTTTATTTTGTTTTCCATTCCTCTGAAAATGACGCTGTTACTACCCTAGACATGATTTCTTCCACTGTACTCACATTTAAGTACCAGGTGGAACTGCTAAGTATTTTATTGGTACCTAATTCATACAATGGATTTGCACTGTAAATTTAAGTTGATAATACACAATTAAGTGCACCAAAGAATGGGCGAGCTCAGTATTCAAGTTAAATGATACTTAACCATTACTTGGTCCCAAGATGGGCGTATCAGGCCATGCACTCATAGATCTTCAGAGCCCCACAAAAGGTAACACCCTTTCCTAAAATGCACTTCTAGTGATTTCATAGACACTATCAGATGGGCAAAATGCAGACCATACTGACTAAAACCCACCAGTACAGCTAAATATACTCAGTGGCAAAAGGAGAGCCCAAGCCCCTGTTTGCTTGCAGTAACTAAGATGGCTGTCAACGTCATGTCTGTTCTTAAGACATCATGCTAAGTTGATTTCTACACTCTCCTTACTGTCCTACTAATGTTCTATCACCCAGAAGAAAATATACCAATAACATCTCCTGTGAATAATATATTTACGTTATCACAGACTCCAGTACAAATTCAAATACACAGTGCGCATGGTCTTAGGTTAGTGCTGGCTATCTCTTCAGCTGATTTCCTAAATCTACTCTGAATTGCCAGTCTCCCCTGCCTTTAGCTGCCCTGCATCTTGCCTGTTCGAAATGACACGCTTCTTGCCTTTTTCACCCTCATGAACAAACACAATTCTCTTGTTTCTTTTTCTCCTCCGCTGAGTTTACTTCTAAGTGCCTACTTTCAATAGACACTGCAACACTTGATTATATCTCCAGGTGTATCGCCCTTGACTCAGGCCTCTTTTACCCCTGAGAGGATGTGAAGGTACACCTGAACACAAAGGACATGTCAGGTCCTTGCCTATCCACCTATACAGGTTATGGGAAGAAGGCAACATCATTAATTGCACCTACTGTAGAATTAATCTAATCCTTCCAGCCTCCATGTTCCACATTTCCCATCTCATCCACTGTCCTTGGTGAGTCTATTATATAAAATGCTATACAACTTTCCATCTCATTGTAATATCTTTCTCCATACAGCTCCAGACTGTGTGTCTGAACCGCAACTTCTTCAAACAAAATCGGCCTGTGGGTCGTTCTGGGAAATATAGCGCTCAGAGGTACAGACCCTCATCTTGCCAGCTGCTTGCCATTTTTGATGCTGTTGTAAAACCAGAAATTTGTAGTCATTGATGCATCTGTCACCATTTTGGGTACTAAATATGAAGCAGAAACTGAGGACACAAATGCAGACACTATGGTAGGCTTGGCCAGCAGTAAAGGTTAAACGGTTTATTATCAACACAAGGGAAAACCAAGAGGGTCAGGGCAGTGAAATCCAGGTAGGGAGAATCAGAGTCTGAGTCCAAAGTGGGGGGTCAGAGGCAAACCATCAGTGCAGACTGAGCAATGTATTGAGAAAAAAAATCCAAAAAACAGGCAAAGTACAGAATCAGAGAGGAGTCCAGAAGTGTGTATGAAGAGCAGAGCTGGAGGGAAAACCTGGAGACTGGAAATAACAGTTTATAGAAATGTCCAGAGGAACAGACTGGGGCACAAATGGTGCTGAGATGGAACAAGATTGTGACAACACACAGTCCTGGTGGCAGCAGCTAATTGACATGTACTGTTAGTAGTATGGTGTATATAGAATACTGTTTGGTCCTGAAGTATTTTAGCATATCTTTGAAAGTCTTATAGCTGTTGGAAGATATTAAAGCAACTTCAACTTTGTCCCACAGGGGTGTGCGGAGGAAGCTGCGCCTGGGCCCGGGTAACTACATCATCATAGCATCCACCTATCGACCCAACCAGCCTGGAGAGTTCTTTGTCCGCACTTTTGCCAAGAGAGGAAACACTCTGGGGTAAGATGACAGAAATGTAGCTTTGAGCACCTAAACGACCCCAGAGAGGGAACAAAATCAAAATAAGACTGTTCAGCTCTACGTCATTTTTGTTCGGTCACAAACACAACACTTCATGAGGCCTCCACAGCCTGCCTCAATCATATCCTGCACATTCACTCTCAGCAGCACAGTCAGTCACCCACACTCCCCTGTACCCACACTCAAACTCAGAGTGAGTACCCTACTATAGTACTGTATAATTTAGAAAAATGCAGTTAGTCTTGACGACAGTTGGCTAAAAGAGAAACTGTGTGTTTTGGCTTCTGTCAGCAACAACAGTCAGTTATACAGCTGAGAACAGTGTGGATACTCGTTCTGACTAGAATGGGTGGTGGTGGTAGGACCTCCAGCGCTGTATGGCACATTGGATGGCAAGTGACTGCTGTTTTTTGTAGTGGTATTGTCTTTACAGGGCCAGGTTACTAGCCCAACACTCAACCCGGCAGTCTCCCAAGCAGATAATGACCAGACTGGACTCTGCTTAGGTTCTGATATCAGGCGTATCCAGTTTATCAGGGTCTGACTAGAATAATCATCTTCATTTTCCATCTTCAGTTACTTTGATTTGGCATAAAGACATATCATCCACTTAAAAAGCATAATGAAAGCAACATTAACAAACGAATGTGATCTTTGTGCTCCAGGTCTCACGACTTTACCTGCACCTCTGGCTACCTTCCAGTAAGATCACACATCTGTTATACTATACTACTGTCTATATCATGATATATTATAAAAATGCCAAACAAGATATGGCATTGATATGTTAATATAAGAATGAAATTTTACATTTGAGTGACATGTTTGTGCCAAACAGGTTATGGTGACTCCCATCTCCTCAGAGGATCAAATGAGAATTCAGAAGACCTTTGATGAGGTGGCCGGCCCAGTAAGAATTGCTCATCCATCCTCCTCACATTACCTACATTACCTTAACTAATGAAAATGTACATTTGGGGCCTTTGGTTAAACAGTCGAAACTGATTTCCTTTGTCCTCCTGGCAGGACGACAAGCTGAACGCCAAGGAGCTCATGAACCTTGTGAACTCAGGTTAGAATATGATCACATGTACAGTGATCTTTTACTGTGTAATCCCTGTCATGGCCACTAGATGGTAGCAAAGTAGCGATATGTTAGTTTGAAAGCTGGACAGAGGCACAAGGGTCACAGTCTAGACAGAGGCTCACAGCTGCAGTCACATAAAGTAAACTGAGACTGGTTAAGTAATAAGAGTGTGACACTTGTCCTCACCTTCACCTTCTCTCAGTTTAAAGAATTATATTATTTCTCTGCATCAGTCTGTACTTTTCTTTCCTAATCCCAGTTCTTAACAAAGAATACCATCTGACGCTGGAGACATGCAAACAGCTCATCTTTGGAGAGGATGTATCCTTTTGTCCTGAGTTTGTTCTTTAATATAACTCACACTCCAGTGTCCTTGCAGCTCTGTACTGTCCTTGTTTGACATCTGGTTCAGTCTCACAGAAATTACACCTTTGTCATGAACTAATATCTTAACTTCCGCTGTTAAAAATGTGAATGATTTGTGCTAGTTTCACACATTTGTTCATTTGATCCCCAGCCCTCCGGCTGAGTCATCCTGCCAGCCTATTGTTCACTTTCACTCTTCCTCCTCACAACTTGACCTCTCTGTCTTTTGTCCTGTTGAGACATCCTTAACTCTGCTGGCAGACTAAAGGGCGCTCCCGTCTTGACCGTGAACAAGCAGAAACCCTGCTGTCCAGTCTGCGCAGTCTGCAGGTACAGCTCGGTGTATGCATACTGTATACAGTATGTGTGCTTTAAAGACATAGATATAGATGGTTTTGTCATTACTATTTATTATTATCTCAGCCAATGGTGGGGGTTCTGTTTTTGTTAGTGTTTGTAGCTGTGTTTGTGTGTTTATAATCGCATAACTCAAAAAGTAAACAATGTCTTTTAATGACTTTTTTTTTGAAGTGGTAACGTATGGTCTGCAGAACAATTAATTAGATTTTGGTGTTGATCTGTAGTATAATTTGGATACAGGGATATTTTAAAAGATTATTCACCATTGTGAGTGCTGCAAAGTTGAGCATGGATTGGGCCACATTTTAATGTCTGAAACCGACCCATAGCGGTGAGACTGGTGTCGGGACCTGACAAGCTTATAATATATAATGTCTGAAAAATGGAATGGAATGCTTTTTCCCCTTATCATTAAATAAGGCAGACATTTGAGTGCTCCAGTCGTCTGGCCTAAAGTTTGAGCTACGATTCAGCTTGAGCCTTTGGGTAACCACAGGTCCTGTTGGGCTTGGTTAGGGTATCCCCACTCTACTGCAAAGGCTGGTGACAAAGCACATGCCTGTGCTTCTGAGCACTCTGAGCACATACAGAGACAAAGCCCTGGGTCAGTGACAGCTATCTATTCACAGTCAGTGGAAACCGGGTGCTGTCACTCAGTACACCCCGCTGTGTGAGACAGGGACTGAAGGAGTCCAGCGAGGCGACGGCCCACAGCCAGGAAAAGCACTACTTTATTCAG